AATGAGAGGAAAAAAACACCTCAAATCAGCTGTACTTGGACTTCTATTGGATAGCTTTGTAGTGTTAAAAAACCCCAAACTTCTAGCAAAATGTGCCCCCAGAAAATCACTATAGGGAAAATTCAATATATCATGAAGCTAGGGGAGCAAATTCTGTTTGGGATTTCCTGTTGTATAAACCTGCATCACTGAATTTCCTTTGGACAGACACCAGCACTACCAACAGCAGACCATGAGGCCCTGTATTCCAGTGCCTAGTTACGAAAGTCAGTCGCGTTTGTTTAAAATCTGGTAGGAAGGTAGTAAAGAATAACCAATAGTCAAACAAGCAACACATCAAAGCAAATAAAAAATGCTGTCACCTACTGTGTGTGAACAGGTGGCCTTAAAGAAGCCCTGAAAATGCCAGACGGCCCATACAGGTATTCCACATGCCCCAGAGGTACTTTTGCCTGGTGGACAATCATCTCCTTTTACAGTGGCTGTATCAATTCAAATGGCTGGTGAAAAGGCTACTTGGGCAGACTTCCTTACGGCTGAACATCACGTCTGTGAGATCCAGCAATCATCAAGCCCCACTTAAGCCCGCTTTGGAGGCTGTAAGTGACTAGAATGATGGAAATGCCTTGAACTGCCCCCTGCAAAAGTTTAAATTCCTCAGCGTAGGAGGATTTGGCTCTATTTTGGACAGAGGTGGAGAGGGGCAGAGGGCCAGAGTGTAGATTTTAGCAGGCTGAAGTATTATATGTCGATCACTGGATGTTTCCACTAAAAGCACTTTTTTTCTGAATGTAACTCATCTTTCCAACTCTACCACTCCCTGGAGAGAGTTACGACAAATGTGTGTGCTGTCTCTCCTTGTCTTGTTTTGCAAAAGGCAATTCCTACAGCAGGAAGAGAAAATTATTTATGATAGAATTTCACACATTTTTCTGGGTGCTTAATGAAGCTTGAACTTGAGTGGAGCAGAGAGAGTGCTTATTGTTGAATTTTTTTCAAGATCACCGCACAACAAACAGAAACTGAATAAGCAATTAAGTTAACTGGCTTTAAAACTCATATTGGCTGAGGATTAAGGTAATTATGTCTGCGCTTACACACATTCATTGCAGCTTTAAACAGTCTTGCTTGCTGTTTTGTTGCTGATGTGGTTCTAAAACTAATCTGAGTTGTTGTCCTGCTGTTAATTACTACGAAGGTTACAAACACAAGCTCTCCTTGCTATAAATATAGCTATGTTATTTGTATTACATGCTCAAAGGAGATGCAGGCCTCTCTTGCTAGGTTTATGCAAACAGATCCAACCGTTTCTTCCTGTAGCAAAGAACTTACAATACCATAGACTTAAGGGATCTGTTAAAATAATACACAATAGATGGGTTTGCTATTGTCATACAGTGATTTCACCGTCAAAGGAGAAAAAAAATATGTTTTTAAGTTTGCGTGAAAAGAGAGACTCTGGGAAAGCAGTATCAGTCTCCACAGTATCCCTGGCAGGGCAATGTGGATTCTTCACCTTCTGGGTTACAAATAAGTTTCCTTCTAAATGGCTGGAATGCAGGGGAGGGGAAAGGAAGGGAACCCCCCACATTCTCCTTGTCTAACAAGGAGCCACAGCGTAAGAGCCACTCCCCAGCAGAAGTAATCTGTGATTGACAATGGTTTTCTTTGCAGCCAGGGCTAAAAATGGTTTAGCTGTAAACAGACAAACGCAGAACATTTTAATGCCCTTTACAAATGCAAGGGCTGCTTACACAAGCACTCTACATGCAGGGTGGCTAGCTAGTGGCACCAAGCGAGCAGCAAGTTTCAGAGTTCCTGAAAACTGATGAGTTTTCATATCAGGGTACGAGCACAAACACAGGAGAAAAAAAATTTCTGTAATGGGCAGATTCACAGAGGGCAGATTCACAAAAACTGGAGGTTTATTCTCCAGGCTGTCCAGGCATTCATATGTGTGACCTTACGCAAGCTGCTATATTTGGCTTCACCCTTCCTGCCTGAAAAACTGAGAGAAATACTTTCCTCTTCACAGAGAGAATGAATGTGTGTAAGGCACTTGGTACGATGGGGTGAGAGCTCTGCAAACAACCAGAACAAAGTCTGAGACTTTGATACAATTTCCCTGCAATCTTAAAGTCGCCTCTGAGGTCTACAGTGAAAGAATATCAAGGAAATGAGGTGAGGTGGGACAACCTCAGAATTTCACAGGGGCTATGAAGAAACCTTTTTATTGAAATACATAAAATTGCCTTGTGCTGAAGTTAATGATCATACGAAGAAAGTTACGCAGCAACAGCTTACTTGTATTTTTCAACAGTTTGAAAAATGTTGCTAACGTGAACTGTAACTCCGTGGCTTTGTTGTTCTTCACTGATTCTTTCCTGTGAATCAGATACAGTCACAGACTTATCCAGGGATTCTGCAGGTCGTAAAAGGGCAAGCTTACCAGCTGTTTCTGTGGGCATTTTGCCTAAGGTTAGCAGAATCTGTTCCTTGATGTTAGTGATGAACTCACTTGGAGATGAACTTCCTGCACACTAGGGAAGCCACCCGAACTAAATAGGACTCAGCCCCAAACAATGTAGACTTCTAAGGTCCTAAATGAGTATTTGGTAAACACGTTGATTCGTAATTGAAAGAAATCTTTATTTTAAAAATGAAAACCAGAGGAGAAAGGCAATGTTGACAGCAGGATTGTAAGTCATAGAAACTCTATTATGAATCAAAACAACAGATGCAACATGAACAACAGCATCTTTTATAAATACAAACTTGACTTTTCTATTTCACACATTGGAAAGGCTAATATGCCCAAAATGAATTTCCCTGAATCTCTCAGTAATGTTCTATGGTCAGTGTTGACTGGCTGTTACCAAAAAAACCCATGGATGATTTATATTCCCGCAGAGTCACCAACCCCAAACCACATTTTTCTGTCAGACCTGACATTAATAACTATAACCACTTCCACTAACTATATTCTCTTTGCAGAGGAAGCAGCAAAGTACAGGCGATTCATACATCAGTGATTTCTTGTTCTATATTCACTTGCCTTCTTTCTTTATTAGCAGGCCTACTGACTGCATGAGTCACCAATTATCACCTTAAGCACCAGACAGGAACTAAATTATCACAGTGCTCCCTCCGCAAAGCAGGCATCATACCATGTTTGCTGTAATCAGTCTCTGAGGCCCAAATACCTCAGACTTCAAACAGGAAATAACTTTGTCCTCCCCATTTCACAGTATGAAGAACCAGTGTTTCTGGGACCAGAGGAACTTCTCCAGCCCAAAAATTCTCTGGGCTTGCCCTTATCTATCTGTTTCAGCAACAGATAAGCTACAGTTGTCAAATCAGTCAAAGTACCATGTAGAGGCAGACAGAGTGCCTGCCCTTGCTCGCTGGCAGTGGAAAAAGTAGGACGGCCAGATCATGTTTATATTTCCATGGCCGATCACACAAGGGAGAGGAGAAGATCAGCTACTGCTTCATTCTTTGCATGGTATGTACTGTTACTGGCAACCCACTCATTCGGTAGCCCCGGCACACGAAGCAATCAAAACTCAGCTGAACAACATTTACAAAGCTGCTTCTAGTTTCCCATTGTCACGATAGAGATCTGATTATTTATAGGTAGCTTTCAAAGCCTATTACTAAGACTTTGCATAATGAACAAATACATTTTGTACCAGCTCTTGCCTAACAAGAATGCAGGGCTTGACTTTTCTCTCGAGTTTTTCACTGGTGTAATTAACAATGACTTCAGTCATGAAACCTCTGACTGATACCACAGTGAGAGCGTGTCACAACACATGAAATTCATGAACCAGAAAGTATTCCTAACTATCTCTAAATACATCATGAAGGGAATGTTTCTTTTTACCATTTTGTCCCTGTTTTTAGCAGGTACATCAAAACCTGACAACTTACCCTTGCCTGACATGATCCTACACTGTTACGTCTGCCTAGTCATGTGGCACTAACTGTGCCACTCTCACCTCTTCCGATCCTGTTCCAGCTTGAAACCGACCTTGCACTGACTCCTTTGTGTCTAATCACACAGTCAGGGTGGAGCAGACTTCTCAGATGATGGAAGTACCAATGACATGCAATGGAAAATTTTTTGAATGACATATGTATCTTCAGACCTTGGTTTCTCTTTTGTTGATGAACAAAGAAGCTCTAAAACACTAATGCTGTTTTGGACTTCGTAACTTTTACGTGTTCAAAACCCATGCAAATAATTATGTATTAATAAAACAGCAATTCCTGCACAAAATTTTAATTGAATATATCCTCCTTACCCTTCTCTCTCTACTGATGCATGCTCATCTTTCTAGCCTTTTCTAGGAGGCTTTTAAAGAGTAAAGTTACAGAGCTCAAATGCTTGAAGTGTCATTTCTCCAAAGGTACATGGTTAGTACTTAAGTTGGAAATGGTTATGTGCTTAATTAGTCATAGAATATATAACATCATATGATTTAGATAACAAATCATGCACGCACAGCAAACAATATAAAACATACTTCACTGGAATTCTTACAAAACACCTCCATTATCCCTCCATAAACAGATTCTGTCAGGCAAAGGTGAGCTCACAAATTACTCTTTTTTCAGTTTAAATGTTGCAAATGCCCTATTCCAGTAAGTTACTCTAAATGACTCTGGTGTAAATAAGATAAGCTTCTGCCCTGCTAAGATCATAGCAAATCAGAGGATTTGAACATAAGGCTTTTCGCCTGAGCCTATTCCACTACACCACGTGGCTTTTCCCACTTCAGCAGGACACTGGCATTCCTACTACTAGAAACATTGAAACAAGACATTTCTAAAAGTCTTCTAACCCCACTTCAGAAAATGGAAATCTGGTAGGTCTTTTCTAACTTTACTTCCTATGAGAGTACGATTAAAACCTGTAGTAAAAATGACAATTAAAAAATAAATCCACTGAAAATAACATCCTCATTATACAAAGAGTTAAATAAATGAAGTATTACCTTGGCAGGTCCGTTCATCTGTGAGCAGTTTATAGCCTTTCTGGCAGCTGCACTCAAAGCTGCCAACCGTGTTTCGGCAGAAATGGTCGCAGCCACCATTGTTTACCAAGCACTCATCAATATCTGCAAGGAATGAACGGGCAAAAATTTAATTCACGACAGCAATTCAGTAGTTCAGGGCAGGAGTATAGGAGTTTACTCAGATCCCCAAGGAGGCTGCTGTCCCTGTTAGGAATCAGGCTGGTCAGATGCATCTCTTCCCAAACCTTTCTCGCAAGGCTTACAAAAGAGCTATGGGCCGAGTTGTTCGGGAGACAGAGGTATTTCTCTCAGAACTGGAACTGCCAGATGACCCAAGCTGAGGCACTTTGATGTTAAAGAACATTCAGGGAAGCTTCTTTGTAGATGTAGTGGTCTGCCTGACAGAAGACTTCAGCCTGCGTAAGACGTGAATCCCTTACCTTACATAGGAACTATCAAAACCCAAGAACACATGAAAAATTAAAATAACAACAAACATGAAGTAAAACATATTTGAATTCTGAAAAAATACTTCCATTATCCCTACATGAACAAATGTAGGGATACATTTGTTCGGAATTAGCATTATATGCTAGTTTGTCCATTATGAACACAGTGTCACTGAATACCCATTTTCATGTGTCTAACCTTTTTGATTTGGTATACTAGAAGAGCACCTGTGAGTGCATGTGAAATGTTGCTTCTTCAGTTGTTCTGAAGGCAGAGCACCTATTGCCTTTATTTGAAAGCCATATATATGTATGAAGGACGGGATCAATGGCTCTTACTTTAAATAACGATTACAAAGTGCATTGATGAACTTGATAAGACCTCTGTTCTGAATTTCAGACTGGTGATTCTACTTTCCTCCACCTTATAACTTCTCCCAAAGGTGTTGAAGAACTGGAATGACCAGTCCCTTTTCCATTCCATAAAAGCTTGTGCATATATAATAGGTCACAGAACCTCATTTGAAATACAGGGCCTCTTTCCATCCTCCCCAACTTATAAAACCATGGATCCATGTTTATTTGAAAAAGAAAAAAAGTACTTTTTTTTTCAGAAGAAGAACAGTGCCAAAAAATAGCTCTTTTTAGGGATGTATACAGTGAAGAAGTAATATGTCATAGAGCCTTGGCTGCTCACTTATGGAAGTGAAAACAAGATCTTTCAGAGAAGCGAGTGGAGAGTGATGTTTCCTATTGAAAAGCCTCTTGCCTAACAGCTTTGAAACTTTGAGGTAACAGCTGGCCATTTAAAAAGCAAATCTTGCAAAATGCAAATCTAGGTGCCAAAAGAGCTAATGTGTGGAGATGGAAATTTATCAAAGACAGCATGATGCTGGTGAATGAAGGGCACATTTAAAAATTATTTGAATTTAAGATGACTTTTAGTGGATGTCATTCATTCATTTTTGAAAACATATGATTACCAACGTGGGAGAGTAGTATGGCTCTTACCACATTTCTGCATGTAAAATATAAACAGCAGCAAGAGGAGTGAGGAGGTAAATCTAGAAATTCTAACAGCTGAGAGGCAAATTCAGCCCTCTTTTCTAAATGGCACTTTGCTGCACTGACATTGACAGAAATACGCTCAGGAGGACGTACTACTCAAATAAGCAAGAACAATGTATATTGTTATAAAGGTTTGCTTATGAGTTCCATTTGTGGCAAAGAAAGCAAATTTGCTCTGAGACCCTCTGAACTAATACTACTGCTTATTACTTTTGTGTCTGGTTCTGCAGAGGAGTGGCTTTTGCATTCAGTCCTATTAAAAGCATGAGGGTAAAAAGGTAGGTAGCAGCTGTGGTGGTATTATGCCCCCGAGTCCTTTGCACAAAGCCAGCTCAAATCTTTATGTCTCGGGTAACAAAGCTCTCAAAGTGATCTGAAACCAGCAGTCATGTTTGTTGTCTGTGGTCCTCCAGTTTTGGTGATTAGGCTAGCTAAGAACAGTCAACCTTAGGCTCCCAACCTGATAAATCTGGTAAAGAACATACTGAAGGTTGCTCTACATACTACCATGAGACTGGAGGCAGCAACCCATTTGGTTTCAGCTGTGAGCATCAGCACAGGTCAAGATCAGCTGTGAAATCACAAGATTCGTTGGCCCAATTCCTGCAGGCTGGCATTTCCATTTGTAGAAGTGATTCCTCCCAGCTCCAGTATGTGCAACTGGGACTGCGTTGCAGGTCTTATGATGGATTACCACAGCAGTCCCATCCTTTTGCACAGCACAGGTGTACCTAAGTATAGTTTAGCTTGCCCTGACAAAACTGATGGACAAATGCAATTGTGAATTAAAATTACTAATATATTATGCATCATAAACACACAGAGTAGTCATCCATCATGGAGAAGATCTCTTTTACCCATGATAAGAACAACATGACCTTTGGGCTACTCTGCTGCCTGAGATTGCTTGAAGCAGAAATTACTTGCAGCCTGTCAAACACCATTCTGAAGTAAGGATTGATGTTTTAAACGATGGCCCCTGGATTTCACATGTTAAATTCCAAATTCCAGTCTCACTAACTTTCTTTTCAGGGTCTCTGAAAACCATAAGGGACAAAAATGAAACTCTCCTGGCCTCAGAGGGTAGATTTGAAGCTGTTAATCACTGTAATTCCACTGACAATGCAGCATATCAGTTTTACACCAGCAATTCTTTGGAATAATCCTGAACCAGGACCTGGGTAAAACATGGGAGAGTCCACAGGAAAAGAAAGTATTTATTCATTTCTTCTAGCTGGAAAACATGACGTGGCCTTTTGAAACCAGGACCATCAAAACAGAATAGAGGTCAAAACTGTTAGCTGCAAAAACATTCTAAATAACACAAACAGCGCCAATGTCTCTGCTTTCACTGTATTTCTTTCCACGGCCATAACAAGACTGACAAGGCATGTAAAAATTATTTCACTCTATGGAGAGCAGTGCATTGCTGCATTTCACTTGAAAGAGAGCAGTATCCAACCGTATCATGTCTAACTGGTTCATAGAAATTGCACCAAGTCTATATCCCCACTATTTTTCTTTCCATAGCTATAAATAATTCATGTTATGAGCCATGTGAAAATAAATGATTCCACTGTGTGAGAAGGTGAGGCCCCATCTATCTTTAAACTGACTGGTACCCAACTTTGTCAAGTGCCTATTGTGAACTTCACAGAGTATGCATGGCTGCCTGTCATGTAGGGAAAGAAAACGCAGTGGAAACCCATCATGGTATCTCTACCAGCTTTGAAATTACTTAGTCAAATCTCCCCATACTCTTATTGGGACTGTCTGTAGAGGAGTCATAAACCCGGTGTCTTCAAACATAGTTCTCAAGTGGCTCCTTTTCAACTGATGACGCAGGTTGCAGAAGAATGGCTCAAACTTTCCACAGTGCTCTGCTTCCCTGTATCCCCAGGAATGCAAAACTATATAAAGAACTGTATTTCTCCATGGGGGGTTGTATGTAAAATGCCCTGATGATCAGTGTTCAGACAACGTGCTGGTCATTTCAGACTAGGTGGTCTGATGGGCTTTCAGTGCATTAGCAATGAAATCCCAAAGGATTTCTCTTAATGCAGTAAGTCAATATCGTTAAATGATACCTTGCTCATACAAGCTGCTGATCGGCTACAAATACCAACTGATGTGCCCGGCACAAATGGGCCACATGTAGAAATGGAAAATACAGACCAATGAAAAACCACAAAAGCATTAAAATTTACTACTCAAAAATGTCAGGTGGAGGTATGGCATAACAGGCAACTAAGCACTCAAGCCTCCCATTAGCACTGAGAATGGTTCATTCCCCTCCCCCATGCAATTAAAAACACACAAAAGCAAACATACGATTTGCAGAAAGGTAGCTAAAACCTTCTTTAAAGTTGTAATATTTGGGGAAAAAAGCAGTCGTAAATATTAGCCTGGGGATGGAATTCAGCAGCACCATCACAAAAGCTGTGGACCTGTCTGAACCCAGAAAGAAACCCTGGGTCACCTTGCTATTCACAAACAGTGGAGAAGTTCCACTCCAGCTTCTGTGACTCGCTGTCATCTCCATGTGCATTGTTAAATGTAAGTCCAGGCTTGCAGCAAATCCCATAAGCAAAGGCCTGGCATCAAGACAGACACTGTGGTGAAGTCAAGCACAGCTACTCTCTGGACCTGCTTATGTGACCCTAGAGCCTTGCGGCATTTGCTAATAAGTGACAGTCTTGGTACACAGATCCAAGTACTCTTTTAAAATGCCCTTTCTTTGTAGTTATTTTGCAAAGCTCTCCATCTTCTTTTGGACACTTAAAAGCTAATTTCAGAAGAATGGAAGGGGTAATAATTTTAGAAGAATGAGGAAGGAATAAATAAAATAAAATATTTCTGAAATAAGCGATTATCCGAAGTTTTCTGAGGATCTCAAAATATGAGGGAGGCAGTGGAATCAGCTTTAAATAAAACTTTTCAGCTTTAAATAAAGGAACAGAAACTCAGATACTTTGTTATAAGTTGCATAGCCACAATTTGACTAGACGAAAAATGCAGTCCGTTATTTTTCTTTTCATGTCCTTATGAAGATTAATGGGAATGACTGCTCCTATTCCACTTGTACCTTTTTAAGCTCTGCTCAGTGTAATTCATATTTGGAAGGACCTGGTTCTGATCAGGGTGCATGTGTGCATGTGTATGCGCATGTGTGCATATAAACTCACAAAGATTTGCCTTCCTGCATACAAGTCAGAGAACAAATTAAAAAGTAGGGATTTTAGGCAACTTAGAATTTAACGTTTCATATAAGCTGCTTAAAGGCAACTGAAAGGGTAATCAACGTGCAATCTTCACTTAGCTGTTGAACAATGATGGATACGGAGATTTCCAAAGCCTCATCACAGGCGGAAGCGAGGCTTCTCCTTTCAATGGCTGGACAAATATTTGAACTGATTGTGTCTGTCTAATCCTTTGCAGTTTTAAAATGCTACCTAGCTCCAGGAAAATAATATACTCCCAGATCAACCTAAAATGATTACGGAAACTTCATACCCTTCTTGTTTTTATTAATGACAGCATGTTAGGATTAATAATGCTATTACCAGCATACAGTGGACATCAATA